CTACCCCCAACTCCATCTTGACCGTTCTCTGAAATTAGCCCCACCTCATCATCCAGATCTGGCTGCCAGGCTCCCATCCCGCCCAAGCCCCCTGGCTCCACTCGCGTTGCAGGTGCCGACACTGCGCCTAAATGAAGCTCCTTGGGCAGAAAACTTCCCTGAGGGGTCTGGTCTGGGCGTTGACATTGACCCTTCCCCCCCACCCCAGCCCCTTCTCCTCTACAGCTAGGCGCACCCGATTCTCCCAAGTCCTCCACCAGCCTCTTCTACCCAGAGTTTCCCAATTCCTGACATTCCCAGTGCTGCGGGCATTGGGATCTGACTGTTCTCAGGGCACTGTGGGGTGTCAAGCAGCATCTGTGTCCCCCATTCACTTGATGCCAGGAGCCCCCCAATCGTGACAACCACTGATGTCACCAGACATCACCCAGTGTCTTCTAAGACGGGGTGTGGGTAGAATTACCCCCAGGTGAGAACCACTGTCCCAACCTATTAAAACAGCAGGAAGTTCCCAGGTCTCAGCCTGAGGTGAGGTGGAGAGGAGACCTCCCCATGTGACCAAAGAATGTTTCTAATCAGTGCCCCAGACAGGCAACAGACCCAGGTTGGGACCAGAGCCTCCTGCCCACCAGAAATGGAATTCGAGCTGCGCAGGTCTCTTAAATTCTCCAGCAGCCTCGCTGAAAAATACAATGAAATGAGTGGCAAAAATAAAGTAAAATGAGCTTTATAAAATATAAAATAAAATGTACTTTAACCCATGTTGACCCTGAGAAGAGTATACTGCCAAGGAGGACTCCTTGTGGTTTATTAGATCCAATTTCATAACCAGAGTCTAACGGTCATTGTTTAACAGGGACCTCTCACCTAATGCTGCATACCAGACAAAAGCCAGATTGGGCGGTCAGCCTCCTGCGCTCTGTTCCTTGCCCATTGAGTGTGCTCTTGTAAGAGCACTCCTAGGATTGAAATTTGACCAATAGGATTGAGATGTTCCACATCCAATTAGAGCTGTGCAGCTACATCTTTATTTGCATCTTTATTGACAAACAGAAGCATTCCATTCCAACTATTTCAGCAGTGCTTTTTGGACCAATCAAACTGAAGATTTTGAATCCTAATTTACATGAGAACAGACCAATCAGGTATAGGGCTGGAATTCTTGTTTATATAGGGCAGCTTTACCTCTGTCTCCAGGGAGGGCGCTTTTAGTTTCCATTGAGGACTGTGTTTTCCTGCCTGAAGTTTTCCAGTAACTGAGTGGCTCTACTTTTAAGTTGAAATATAAATTAAAAATTATATTTCAGGTGGTCAGTATCTGAGAGCACCTGGTAACTCTGCCCTGGCCTAAGTTTGTTGTGTGACCTTGGCTTGTCTCTGCTGGGGTCAATCACCCAGGCTACAGCCAGCTGGGCTTGGGCAGGAAATTGTACACAGTGGGTCCAAAGCTAGTTCTAGTGGTACCCATGCCAAACACTTCTATTTGAGCTCACCGCCACCACCCCATCTCTCCAAAATAGACTGACTTCAGGCCATCCTTCCTCTTCTGTACCTGCTCCTAGAGCCCTGATCTCCTTTCATCTCACAGCACAATCACCTAGCCCTGAGGCCCGACACACACAGGAAGCTCAGTTGTGGGTCCAAGCCACCCCCCAGTTCCCCAAGCAGGGCCCCATCAACAAGGAGCTGCTGCTGAAGGACAACATGGCTTGACGTAGCCACTGGGCCTGAGATCAGGGGTAGAGCTTCTAGGGGCTCCAGCCCCACCACTTCCTGCTCAGGTCCCCCTGCTTCAGAGTGGTGGAGTCAGCATTCCCAAATCCGCTCTTACAAGATGTGCCTCTCTGCCCTGTGCGACGGCTGAGGAGCTTGTCCCTACCCTCATCTGGCCATCTCCCTTTTGCCGCTTGCCTGAGCCCTCCTTCCTGAGTTGTGGATGAGCTGCAGGCCCTGGGCAGGTCAGGCCCAGCTTCTAGGCCTTTCCATCTAGTCTGAATGTAGACATCACTACTCAGAGCCTCTGCTTCCCTTGACACTCCTGATGATTTAGATCTCAGGCCCCCGGATGACCTGAGGGGCTAGCCACCATGCAGACCCTGTTTTGCCAAACTTCAGTTCAGTTTCATGAACAGATTCATCAAGCAACGGCTTCACAGGCATTCCATGCTTTTTATTCAGGGTCCTGGCTCTCCACCTTGGTACCCTGGGCGTCACCCCTCCTGCCATACCCCCGGGGCTTAGCTCAAGGACCAGCAGGAGATTGAAGGCTTTGTGGACTGGAATAGCCCTCCCCACTCTAGAGCTTTATGTGTGGTTATTTATTGAACAGACAGGCCCAGGCCTCCACTATCCCAGAGACCCACCCAGTCAGGGAGTGGCAATAGAGGGCAGGACTTGAGCTGACACTTCCAGTCTAGGGTCCTCCAGAGCTGGGTGGGGGACCTGACAGGGGTCCCAAAAGACCCAGCCCTGCTCTCAGAGCTGCAGCCCACCCCAAAGACAGAGCTTCAAGGCCTCCAAGTGGCCAATGGTGCCAGTGAGGGGAGCTTGCCCAGAACGGTGGAGAGGGTGTCGCTGGAGGGAACAGGCATTTCCAGCGCTCTCTCCTGGACAGCCTCCTTGGCCTGAATCCCCTGCAGTGGATGGGAAGGACAGGATATTGGGTCTTGGATGGGGGAGAGGGGAAGCTGGGACCCTCTGTGGGAAAAAGGCTTCCTGCCAGGCCACTGAGGACTTCCTATGGGGGTGGGGACAGTGCCGGTAAGTGGGATCTGAGGGCAGGCTCTGCAGGAAGCCCAGGCCAGGGAAGGGGAGCAGTAGAACAAGGACCTTAGCTCCAAATCAGGCAGCTTCCACGGAATCAGTCTTCCAGGGACAAGACCACCTATCCCAGGTGCAGGAATGAAATTGGTTCAGCCCCCAGGTACTGCTGGCCTCAGGCCCCCAGGGGCCCCTCCCTCACCCCTCCCTGGCCAGTGGAGAGTGGAGAGACAGTCTACACTCTCCAGGCTCCTGTCCCATCCCTTTCTTCTCTACTCTTCCCCCCTCCATCTCTCTCTCCATCCCCTTTCTCTCCCCATCCCCAGACTTCACTTCTGCCCAGAAACTTCTTCATCTATTCAGCCCACCTGTCCTCAGGGTGGTGGCATTGACTGCCCCGCCCACCCCATCGATGTGAGTCTGAATGTGAAGATTCACCCATCACTCATACAGAGAGAACTCAGATCTGGGAGCTCCGAATGGGCAGCAGTGGGGGCAGCAAAGCCAGAGAGCTGAGTTATGCCCTGCAAGGGACCTCAGCTGCCAGAGCAGCAGGAAGTGGGGTCAGGGGCTGGGAAGAGGCCCATTCACCAGGCCAGCTGCTCCCAGCCAGGGTTAAGGGCCCAGCTTCCCGAGAGGAGCCCACACCTCCGGCCTGAGGAGGACTGGAGTCTACCTTCCTGTGTGGCCTTTCCCGGCACCAGGGCAGCTGGGGGGTTGGGACCAAGGAAGATGGATTCTGAGGTCACACACATGGACCTTGAGGCCTCTCTTGAGGCCTCAGTTTCCCTCTTATGCTTCTACACCCTCTGAGCTTCAGTGTACCCCTTCTGGTTCCAGTCCCTCTGAGCCTCAGTTTACCCCTTCTGCTCTTCTCGTGACTCTGTTTCCACCTCTGACAAGGGTCTGAGGAGACGCAGACAGGAAGAGCTTAGCAATTCCATCTCCCGGCTGCCCAAGGGAAACAGGCACAGGCCACATCCTGAGGCTGGACAAAGGCAGCCTGGGGTATTTCGTTTCTTTTCCTCCTGTGTGCCTGCTGTGATCAGTGAAAGCCATGGCAGACAGACAAGGGCCCCCCGCCCAGTACAAGGAAGTTATGACTTCAGCTACACAACCTCAGTAAGATCTGTGAGGAAAATGCACCTGGATTAAGTGAAATAGAGGAAGGGGCTTTGAGAAGGTGGTTGGGGAGAACTTGGAGGAAGCAACATTTGGGCATAGACTGAGCGGGGGAGGACACAGCTGTGCAAAGGCCCTGAGGCTGCATGATGCCTCAGGGCTCTGGCCAACAAGGAGCTGGGTTTTTCCTTTGTGCCACAGGCAGCCTTGGGGTGTCTGTGTGTTTAGAAAGGTGTTTCTGAAACCCTCCCAGGAGCCACCACGTGGTGATTGGCTGGGAAGGGCAGACAGGGAAACAGGACATGGCTAAGGGGCACCGGGCATAGGATGGAGGATTCGGGTGTTGAGAAGATGAGGTTCTCAGGACTGGCTGATGACTGCTGTGGTGCGGAGCCTGGCCAGGGTCCCTTCCCAAGCCTCTCCTGCGGACCCAACACTCCAGTCTCTCTGTGGAACAGAGTATGGAGGCACCCCCATGCCAGGGGCTCCTAGGATCCCACCAGCATGCCCCTTTGACAGAGGGAAGACATGCTCAGAGGTAGGTCCTGATGTGTCCCAGGCACAGGTGGGCCTCAGCTGCATCACTCCAGGAGACCCCCTTACCCCGAAGGACCCTTTCCCCCAGGAGGTTCCATCGCCAGAGACCCTCACCCTCCAGGAGATTCCGCGGCAGGGCACACAAGGGGCCTGGAAGGTGGCAGCTGGCATCAGACCCTGCACATGACGGCTCAAGGCAGTGAAGGCTGAGGTTTGGCCTAGGGAGCACACGTGGGTGGGGCGGGCCCTGGGCTTGGTTCGGTTTTCCACTCACTTGACCTCGACAGTCACCCCCTTTTGGCCCCATATTCTGATCTTCCTGTCTCTGAATGTGAGATCTGGAATCTATCTTTCCGCCCCATCTGTTGCGGCCTCAGCCCCGCCCTCCCATCTCTGGCCCCCAGTCCTTGCCTCTCTGTCGCCTCCAGGGTCGGGGGTCAGGGTGGGAAACCCCCTCGGGAAACCCCCTAGCAACAGCAGGAGGAGGGGGCGGAGGAGCAGGGTCCCGGCGGCGGGAAGGAGCCAGAGGCACTACTTAAGCCACTTCCCTCGAGGGCCGTGGACAGAGCAGGGGACCCAGCATGGAGCAGGTCCTGGCCTTCCTGCTCCCTCTTTTCATGGGGCTCCTCCAGCAAGGCCGCGGTGAGCAGAGGAGGGGGCTTAGGAAAAAGGAGGGAGCCAGTGTGGAGGGAGTTCGGCGAGGGGAGGTGGGGAAGGTTCAGGGAGGGTGATGGGGGATCCTACAGAGGGCAGCCTTGGAGGACACGGGGCTGACAGGTTTTGGGGGCTCGGACAGAGAAGGGGGCTCAAGGCAGGGGTCTAAGGCTGGGGGCGCGGGTTTGGGAAGGCGGCAGTGAGGGGCTAAGAGCGCCGCCTGCCTGCAGGTGGGCTCCTGGAAGTGGAGCCCCGCCAGCCCGTGGTGGCGGTGGCCCTGGGCGGATCGAGGCAGCTCACCTGCCGCCTGGCCTGCGCGACAAGGGCCGCCTCGGTGCAGTGGCGCGGCCTGGACACCAGCTTGGGTGCAGTGCAGTCGGGCGCCGGCAGCAGCGTCCTAACCGTGCGCAACGCCTCGCTGTCTGCTACGGGGACCCGCGTGTGTGTGGGCTCCTGTGGGAACCTCACCTTCCAGCGGACCGTGCAGCTCCTGGTGTTCGGTGAGACCCCACCCCTCTTCTCTCCTTTGCACAAGCCGGGCTCACCCAGCAGCCCTATCCCTATGCCACCTCTTACCGGGAGTCCTCCCGGATTGCCTGCCCTACCCCTGATCAAAGCCTGTTTCGCAGCTCCTGAGCGGCTCTGCAAATCCATTCCATCCTCTCTACACTCCCTTCCTCTAGGCCTCCCAGGCTTCTCTCGCTCGCCCCCCGATCCACCCCCAAACCTCCCATATCTGACCCCCTTGCCCTTTCTGCTCTGGACCCCTTTCCACTACCTTATATTCTAGCCACTCCCGGCTTACCCCGTCCCCATGCCCTCTCCTCAAGGCCCAGTCTTGATCCTCTCAGCTCAGCCCATCCTCTTCCCACCCTCCCCGCACAGCCTTCCCGAACCAGCTGACTGTCTCCCCAGTGGCCCTGGTGCCTGGGCAGACCCAGGAGTTGGCCTGCACAGCCCACAACGTCACACCTGCCGACCCCGAAGCCCTCTCCTTGTCCCTGCTCCTGGAAGACCAGGAACTGGAGGGGGTGCAGGCCCTTGGCCGGGAGAAAGAGGAGGAGGAGGTGCCCGAGGAGGGTGAGGACCCGCTGTTCCAAGTGACAGAGCGCTGGCGGCTGCCCCCACTGAAGACACCTGCCCCATCCACCCTCCACTGCCAGGCGACCATGAGGCTGCCCGGCTTGGAGCTGAGCCACCGCCGGCCCATTCCAGGTATGTCTGCAGGGCCCTGACTGCCCCGCACCTTAGTGTCCCCCAGGAAGTGAGAGGGGTCCTGCCACCCAGCTCCTCTGAGCCTTGATGAGCGGTGTTTAGCAGCTCCTCCGGAATCCTGGCTCTGCCCCTCCCCTGCTGGGCCCATCTACTGGCAGGTGGGGAAATTGCATTCCATCTCTGGTCTGCCCTCTGGTGGCAGCCAGAGTGATACTTCTCAATCGTTTGTTTATTCAACAGACTTGCTGAGCACCTTACCTGTGCCAGGCCCCATGTGTTCCTACCAGCTCTTCCCTCCCCCTTGGTCCCTAGCTCCCACCCTCACGCGGCCCCCACCATCACCCCCGCCCTGGAGCCTGTCTTCTTCCTAGCAGCCACTGGCTAGCACCTGTGTGCACCTGCGTCAGGGCCTGCCCCTCTTCTGATCACAGCCCTCCAGCGCTCCCACCTCCACCCAAATAAAAACCCAAGTCCTCCCTGGGGCCCCCAAGGCCCTACCCAACCTATTGGGTCACGTCCCTGCCCTCCCTTCCTCCCCTCTTTCCCCCCTCACTCTGCTCCAGCCACACAGGCCTCCTCACTGATCTTCCAGGAGGCACGGCCACCTCAGGGCCTTTGTACACGCTGTGCCTGCCACTGGCAGTGCTCTGCCCCCAGATCTCTCCCTCTGTGACTCCCTCACTCAGCTCCCTCAGGTCACCTTCCCAGTAAGGCTTCCGCCAACCTCCTCCTACCCCTCACACGTGCACGCGTTTACACACACACACACACACACGCACACACACACATGAGCTTTCTCCCCTGTTGACTATTTCTTGACACCTTTTATCAACATCTGACATCCTATATGTTCTCTTTACCTTTTTTCCATTAACCATCAGCCCTGCTCTTGGCTTCACCAAGATAAGAATGTGTGTCTTGTTCATCGTTGTGTTCCCAGTGGCTAAAACAGTACCTGGAGCATAGTAGATGCTGAATACAGTCTGAATAAATGAACAAGTGTTATCATGCTGCCCAACACATGGCAGATGGCAATAAATGCTTGCCGAATGATATTTAACGTGGGCCCTGGCACACAGTAGGTGCTCAACTGTGTCAGATGCATCCTCCCCTCTCCCCTCCCAGTCCCATAATGATAAAACCCAGTGCTCACTGACTCTACGCTCTGGGAGCATGGGTGGGCCTTGGTGGGGGCTCTCACCTCCTTTACAGTTGAAGAAAGTGAGAAAAGGAAATTCAGAAGTTCCCGGGGCGGCAGGGGGGCAACAGGCCAACATGACTCCTACCCACTGGGATACACTGCAGTTCACCCAAGTGGCCCAGGTTGGGGCTTGGAGCAGTTCTGGACCACCTCCGTGGTCCAGATCGACAGGCAAGAAAGGGGACTGGGATGACAGGGAGAAAAACGGCTGCTCTCTTTTCCAGTTTTGAACATCCTGACCTCCCAGGAGCCCCCCATCCTGACCTCCCAGGAGCCCCCCATCCTGACCTCCCAGGAGGCCACCCTGGAGCAAGACTCCGCCCGCAGCCCCTGGAGTCCTAGCCCCAAGCCTGGAAACAGCTCCATCAGGCCTTGCCGCCCTGAGATCCGCCGGTCGCCAGCCCCAGGGGGTCTGGAGCTGCTGTGTGAGGCAGCCTGTGGCCCTGGCACAGCTGTGCATTGGATCCAGGCACCCGGCGAGCTGGCAGCTTATAAGAGGTGGGAAGCCGGGGCCCAGGCTTGGCTGAGCGTGCTGTGGGCTGGCTGCAACCCAGAGGGCTGGTTCCAGTGTCGTCTGGACCCGGGGGGCCAGACAGCCAGTCTGTACCTACTCCCAGAAATCTGTGAGTTGGGAGGCTGGGGCGGGCACGAGGGGAGGATAGGAGGGAGGAAGCCCTGCATGAAGACCTTAGACAAGGAAGTGCCCCTGCCCAGCCTCAGTTTCCCCAACTGTCCGGTAGGCTTCCCTGACACACTAAGATTACAGTTGCCTGGCATGGCGATGACCATAAGTTTCAGGGACTGTGTAGATTTCACAGCAGTTTGTGAACTCTGAACTTTACAGACTACAACAGCCTGTGGAATAAAAACAGAATACAGTCGCTTAGTTCACTTCAAATTTTCTGGTAGCCACATTCAGAAAAAAGTAAAAATAAGTTAGATAATATATTTTATTAACCCAATATATCAGAAAAAAGTAAAAATAAGTTAGATAATATATTTTATTAACCCAATTATTAACTATATTGGGTATATTTTATTAACCCAATATAACCCAATGTAAAAAAGGTATGAATGATATATTTTATGTTCTTGTGATGTGTATTTTACACTGACAGCGAGCACTTCTCCACTCAGATGAGCCACATTTCCAGGACAGACACACAAGTGGCCGCCTCCCTGATCGGCCCACATTTAACTATAAGGTCCCACAGTCCTTTCAAAAGATTCACTCTGAAGTCCTTTGGATATTCCAGTGTTTTTTGTACATTTCAAAAGACATTCTAAGCCAGAGATTTTCAATCAGTATACCGCAAGAATTTCTTAAAAATGCAATACCTGACTATTTAGTCAGGGGCACTGACCTCTTTTCCCTTACATTGTTGAATTAAAAAACGGCAACAGCCAACAGAATAATAGCTGTCTGCTGTGAATTAATCAAAATCACACCAATTTTTTGGTCAGATCAGCAAAGATATTTTTTTAATATATCAGCAAATATATTTTTTTGGTGTGCCACAGAATTTTAGTAATTAGTTTATGTGTGCTGTGAGATGGAAAAGGTTGAAAATCGCTGTTCTAAGCCATTAAGACCTTTGTTAAGGTAAATTTGGAAGCTCTGCTGAGCTTCTCCCTACAACCTGCAAAGAGGTGTTCAGGCTCCTGACACTTCTCTCTCTAGGCTCCCCACAAACGTCTGAAGCCCTGTGGATTGGCAGCTTGGTGCTGGCGCTGCTCCTCCTCATGTTCCTCACCTATCACCTGTGGAAACGCTGCCGGCCCACCACCTGACTGCCAGGCACACCAGTGCCTCTGAGGTGGCCTGCCTTACCTTCAATTCGGTTGTGACTGGAGGACGTTCGCAGGATTCTGGACAGCATGAGGGCTGACCGCAGGTCCTTCACCCTGATGGCCAGCACACAGAGGCTCCCCACCTGGCTGGGTTTCACCTCCGTGGGACCCCTGGGGAGCCACTCCCCAACTGGAGAATAAAGAACATCTGGTCTGACCTCAGTGGCTGCAGTGGTGGTACAAGGGCAACTCCATGGGGAAACAGGATGGGCAGGCACCGCAGCCCACCTGGCCTCCTACTGGGGGTGTGCATGCACTCTGGCTGAGGAGGGAGAATACAAATGCTGTGCCTTTCCCTGGATGCAGGGACCCTTGCGCTTCAGGAATAACTAAGGAGTCATCAAAAGAAATAGAGAATGTATTTGGGGGATCGGGCACTGTGGATAAAGACACGGAAGAGAGGTGGCTTATTAACGGAGCTAAGGAGGGGACAGAGCGGAAACAAGCTAGAAATGAGATCAGCAGATGCCAGGGGCTTGAGCCTGTAGGCTCTGAGGAGAGCTGAGAGCGCTAAGGGATGCAGTGTGAGACAGAACCCTCCGGTGGTGAGGAAAGGTAACAGCTTAGGACAGGGAACTGGGGACCGTGAGTGATCTACTCATTCCTCGAACATGCACAGGGGACTAAGGACCGTCGGAACCCAGAGCAGTCCCTTTACGCAGCCTGGTGGGTGGCTAGGGCGGGGGAAGGGGGCTATAAACCCCCACGACGCGAGCTATAAACTCAGACCAAGAGTGGGTTAGGGTGAAGGCCAGGCTGAGCCCAAAGTCTCGAACACGAAAATCAGAAAAATGGGACGGGGCGGAGCTCAGTCCTTGAATCTGGGTGGATCCATATCCCTCTCCAGCGTAGCGCAGCTTCTCTGTTAACTGAGGAGACTGGTTGCTAGGGAACCACGCTAAGAAAGGGTCCGCCCACTACCAAGATGGCAAGCACTCGAACTTCATGCCAGAAACTAGGCCCTTCCTTGGGAGCCATTTTGGAGCCTGGCAAAGTTCAGATTCTGGGCCTAAGCCAAGAAGCCAACCAGTATACGTAAAGAAAAAAACTGGAGGGAGAATGCCAATTAGAGCCTAAGGGAAAGAGTGGCCTGCACTAGTTGTTTTCCCGTCTCCCAGAGGGATCCGGGATCCTCGGCCCTTAACCAAGATGACCGCCAGGAGGCGCCAGCGCACTATGAAATATGGCGGGGCTTCCGGTCCCGCTGCCCTCAGCGAAGATGGCGGCAGTGGAGAAGCGGCGGACAGCCATAGCCCCGGCGGCCAGTTTCACAGACAGTGGCCGGCTGTCGATGTCCCGGTCAGCAGCAACGGCCGAGAGCGAAGAGGACTTCCTGCGGCAGGTCGGCGTAACAAAGATGCTGCGCGCAGCCCTGCTGAAGGTACTAGAGGCACGACCCGAGGAGCCGATCTCCTTCCTGGCGCACTACTTCGAGAACATGGGCCTGAGTACGCCTGCAAACGGCGGCGCCGGGGAGCCCCCGGGCCAGCTCCTGCTGCAGCAGCAGCGCTTGGGCCGTGCGCTGTGGCATCTTCGCCTGGCTCACCACTCCCAGAGGTGCGGGACTGGGCCGGGCCTGGGTGGGTTGGGGCCCCGACCGGACTTCAATTCCCAGCGTGCTCCGCGCGTTTTCTCGCCCCGGGCCCGGCGCTTGAGCGTGTGGCATGGTGGGAACTGTAGTTCCCAGTTTTTCCCTAGCGCGAGGTGGACCCGGACCACGGTGGCCTGGAGGTCCCCAGCGTATCCTGGCGGTTGCATGCGTGCCGTGCGCCAGCGTCCGTAGCTCCTGCCGGCTTCACCTTTTGCGATGACTTTTTGGAAATCGTGGAGCCCAGAGAGGACTTAGCCCAATGTCGCAAAGCAAGTCCTGTGAGCCTGGCCCCTCCTAGCTGGCTCGTTACAAGTTACAAGCGTAGCATCCCCGTCCATTCGGCCAGAAAATGAATATTTTATAGCGCCTGGCTGTGGAGACAGAGCAGCCTAGTCGCCCAAGGCCCTATCCTAGAGGGAGGCTCCCAGTCTGCAGGAAGGGTGTCCAGGAAAGGCCCCACGTGACGCACAGAGAAAGGTGATGCCTCAGGTGCACTGGCCTGGAGGCTGTACAGATGCATTGTAGGGTGCAGAGCCTTCCCACAGCTGAAGCATGTTCGGGTGGAAGGGATGGCGCCTGCCCACTCCCGACACATCCTCCCTTCCCCACAGTTGTGAGCCCATGGAAGGTGGTTGGGGAATATGTGTTGAATCCATGGTCTGCATCTGGCATATTGGAGAGAAGCAGCTTCAACCGAAGTCACTGACTGGATGTGGGTGGGCTGGGTCTTGGCTAGGGGCATCCCCAGAAGCAGAGCCTAAGGCAAGCTTTCATGTGGGGGTGATTTTGTAAGGGGGTGCTCCCATGAGACCCCAGGAAGGGACAAAGCCAAACAAGGGAGTGTTTCAATCTGATTCCCAGTGTATTCCCAGGTGCTTCTGGGCAGACATCCCAAGAGAGTCACAGGTGCAGGCCACAGGAAGGAAAGCACAGAGATGCTGGGGAGGGAGCTCAACTGTGGGAGGGGTGTGGAGGGTGGGCATCCAAGCAGAGCAGCCATATCACCACCACAAGAAGAAAGGAAACAAGATGACAGCCAGACAAGAGAACAGTGGAGGAGTGTCCAGGAGCTGGAACTACCCCTGAGATAGGGACCTGGGAAGAGGAGTAGGTTGGTGGGACATATGTGGGCTCATGACATGCTGTGAAGGCTAAACATGGATCTGCCGGAGCCAGGGTGGAAAAGGAGTGTGCAGGACAGTCCTTGGTGAGCCCATGGGGCCATCTACTTAGATGGAAGTTCTAAAACTGGAAAGTGGACAGGCAGGTCTGCAACTAACTGAGAGGTGCAACTGGGACAAGAGGTCAACGGGGAGGGGTTGTAAAGGCCTGAGAAGAGCCCAGGCCCCAGTTCTGAGTAGCTGCAGCCTCGGAAAACCTCCAGAAAAGCATGCAAAGGCCAAGTGTGAAGGAGGGAACTGGAAGGGAGTGGCATCCCAGGGCTCTTTCCAAGGAGGAAAGTGGTTATTGGCAGGGCCACCACATACAGCTGTTAGGTCAAGCAATGCACAGCCACTCACCCCATAGATGTCACAAATGAGAGCATTCGTATGAAGGCTTTTTGCGGAGTTTCTTTTCCTAATTCACGTAACGGCATCTTGTGGGCTGGCGGCAGCCCAGTGTCCAATGGCTCAGTAGATGAGGACTGAGAAGTGTCAGATTTAGGGTCAACAGGAAACTAAGTTAGGCTGCTCTAACAAACTACCACAAACTTAGTGGCTGGAAACAACAGAAAAAATATTCTCCCACAGTTCTGGAGACCAGGACTGTGTCTAAAATCAAGGTATTGCAGGGCTGAGCTCCCTCTGGACATTCTAAGGCAGGGTTCCTCCTGCCTTGTCCAGCTCCTGAGCATCTCCAGGCTTGTGGAAGCATCACTCTAGCCTCTGCCTCATCGTCATCACAGGGCCATCTCTGTGTCTCTCTGTCCTTTCTCTTCTAAGAACATATGGCATTGGATTTAGGGCCACCTCACCCTATCTCCAGATCCTGAACTAATTACATATCAAAGATTCTACTTCCATATAAGGTCACACTCACAGGTTCTATATGGGCATGCATTTTGTGGGGACACGAGCCACTGCACTGCAGGGACATTAGGGCCGTTGCTGTAGGCAGTTGGGAGCAGCAGGTGCTCAGGGTGCGTAGTAATGGGTGCTGGTTGCTGATGCATCTCCCCAGAGACAAGCGAGTGATAAATGTAGGAGGCCCTTAACGATGCCTGACAGATCAGGAGCAGAAACCTGGCCAGGCAAATCCCAGGTGTGGCAGACAGGTGCTTCAAGGTTGGGCAGCTTTGCCTGATGCTGCAAGGTTGACCAAGGTATCTTGGGGCTCTTCTTGAACGTGTTATCACAAAAGATTTGGGAAGTCAACCTAAACCCCTTCTGCCAGTGTCTCAAGAAGTCAGAGTTGCTGGCCTGCAGAAGTGGTAATAGCTGCAGCTGCATCCCATTCCCTCCTGCCCCTCCCCCCACCCTGCTGGCCCCAAGACCCCGGGTGTTGTCTAGACATGTAAGGGCTACAATGGCCACAAAGGGACAGAGCCAGAGTCAAACCCAGGCCCCAAGTGTGGCTCCAAGGCCTCCTTCTAAGCCACCACATGCTAATAGTAACAGCAAGAGTGCCATCCCCCGCAGGTCCCTGTGACCTGGGAGGACGCACAAAAGGCACCAACAGGTCTAGGCCAAGGCTTCTCAGCTCACATAACCTCTGGGGGCTGTCCTGGGCACTATGGGGTCCTGAGCATCATCCCTGGCCCCGACCCCCTCCATGCCTGGAGCATCCTTGTGTGACAACTACAAATGTCCCTAGATATTACCAGTGTGCCCCGTGGGCAGAATCGCCCCTGATGAAAAACCCTGGTCTAAAATGAAAAGTCTCCTTGTCTCTTTCTGGAGATATCACATATTCTTTTTTGTTTTAACAAATACTCACATATTTCACAAACTGCTTACAGGAATGGAGTAAGTGCCCAGTCCCAATTCACAGATAGGGAACTGAGGCCCAGAGTCCTCCCAAGGAGCTAAGATGGAGCCTGGGCCACCAAGTCCAGAGCAGGTTGCCTTCTTGCTCCCTACCATCATGATTCAGCAGATGGTGTGGGCGCCCCTCGTGGCTGCGAGCCACCGGGGGAGCACCTAGGAGGGACAGTGATGAGGCCTCGGCCTGGAGTTTGGGTGTTGCCTTCCCCTTGGCTTCTTGCCCAATCCTTGTCATAGCTCTGATCTCACTAGCTGGGCTGTAGTTACCCCTTTGTGAGTCTAAGATAAACAGTGTCTGGACAGCCCAGCTGAAATGCAGCCCAGGTTATAGCAAATGACAAGCACGCATGGGGCCCCTCCCATGT